AAAATGTGTCTCTATCCCAAACAAGAATGTTGGCCCCGAGTCTCAGAGCTGAATCACTGAGATAATATTCTGCCAAAAAATGCGCCTTGTGACCAGCACTTGAATTTTTGTTAAATGTGAGCAGATGGCCGACCCCTCTCTGTATAGGAGAATGTAATAAACCCACTTTGCTTTTTATTTCAAAGGAGAGAAGCTCGCAAGGGTTTCTCAGGCCCTGTGATGCAATTTTGTGTAACAGTGAGAGAAAACCAATATTTATTTATTATTTTTCCCCAATGGCCGATATCTCACAGGAGTAGCAAATCCCGTGAGATTTCAACCGTCCAATGTCCAAATTCAATGCAAAGATTTGGTGAGAACTGGTGAGATTTTGGTGAACGGATTGTTTCAACACACCAAAACTGTGTTTGCATTTCTTAAAAGGACCAGGATATGTTGCAAGAGTTCCTTGCTAATGAGTTCAGGATGCTTCGGACGATCTAAAGAGCATTCCCAGGAGTATCTCTTTCCATCATAAAAGCTGTTTATGAAATTTCTTGTTTCTTTCAGATCTCATGCAGTTTAGTATCCACTGATCCAACCACACAGAGTAACAAGAGTTGGAAGGGACCTTGGAGGTCTTCTAGTCCAACTCCCTGCTCAAGCAGGAGACCCTAGACCAGGGATGGCAAACCTTTTCGGCACCAAGGAAGTGTACACACTCATCTGGGCTGCAATCAAGAAGAGGAGTTGCCCAAGGGGCATGCACGTCCTGAGAAATTTACTTCCAGTTTTGTGCGCCAGCTGGAAAATCTTCTGGATACTGACACTCATGCGCACACGCCGATCAGCTGGCCTGCGCACATGCTCACAGACCAGCTCTTCCAGTTGCCGCATGCACAAAGGCGAGCTGATCGTCACACGCCCATGCACACTGGAAACCCGGAAGAGGAACGGCTGACGCCAGGCGTGCCAGGCGACATGATTCCATGTGCCACTTTGGGCACGCCTGCCATAGGTTTGCCATCACGGCCGTATACCATTCTAGACCTATGGCTGTCCAATCTCTTCTTAAAATCTTTCAGTGATGGAGCACCACAACTTCTGAATGCAAGTTGTTCCACTAATTGAGCCGAGGTGGCGCAGTGGTTAGGGTGCAGTACTGCAGGCCACTTCAGCTGACTGTTATCTGCAGTTCAGCGGTTCAAATCTCATGGCTCAAGGTTGACTCAGCCTTCCATCCTTCCAAGGTGGGTAAAATGAGGACCCAGACTGTGGGGGCAATATGCTGACTCTGTAAACCGCTTAGA